AAATTGAAACATGTTACGCATGATCCAACAGCCTCCATATAAAAAGAAGAAAAAAAATCGGTGAGCTTTTCTCCGCATCCGCTGGTTTCGCGGTAAGCTTTTCTCCGGTGAGCTTTTCTCCGGTGAGCTTATCTCCGGTGAGCTTTTCTCCGATGAGCTTTTCTCCGGGATTGGTCTCGCGCATAATGCAGCCGGTCAAGTGTAAGTTGGAAGGTTTACTGCCGATTTTCCTCCAGCAAAAGGACTCCCGGGTCGAAGTCGGGCAGCACCACGCCTTGGCCACCTTCGTACCTAGTAAAGAAATTGTACACGTGCATATTTAACTCGAAGTACGCACTTCGTGCTTGACGTTCGCGCGAGCGATGTCTTCAGTCACGAGAAGGGGGCAACGGCTCGGCGACGTCTTCGAGCAAATTGGCTTGGTGGTCGGGCGTGGCGTGTCGTACGGGACTAAATGGGACTAATGTGGGACTAAATAAATCTTTTAGCTGCGTTTTAGACGTTCTCTTCTTCACTTGTCTCTGTCCCTTCTACTTTTAAGTTTCTGTTTCTACCCCAGTCTCGGGTTAAGTTTCATCATGGTAAATATCCACCAGCTCGCGTGTACTTTAACCGTTTTTTCATTAATTGTACCAGAAGCAGGCTTAGTCCCCCCCTTTTCGAATACTCAAACGTTCACACCGACGCCGATTGCCGTTATTCATGAAGCTTTCAACGTGCTGGACAAATTGGATCGCCGTCCAGCGGAATTGGAAGCCGACGTTGCGTTTTTGGCATCTCTTTGCGGAAGAACCACATTGATCCAAAACTCTTCAAGCATCTATCGACATCAGGGATACCGTGGAGGTTCAAGAAGAAGATAATCAAGGCTTACAGAGATGGTGCATCTCAAAGGATTCAGGATATCCGCAGCGCGTGTGAAAGACTGTGGTCCCTTCTGGTTGGAAGTGAGATCGAGCACCACCCGGACTACCAGCACTGGAACAGAATGAAGAAGGCCCGTTTCGACCGTCTTTGGTATGTGAAACGTAGGATTGTTTTGGACAGTATCAAGTGTGGTTCTAGGCGTGAGGAGAGCGGGAAGTCTTGGGACTACAATAATGGTGGTTGTATGCCTCAGACGTCGTTTGTTAACCCGTACAGTGAACTTATTTCGTCAAAATCGGAAGAAATTTTGGGGGGAGGACCGAAATGTTGTCTAAACATAAAGCCATCAAAGCTGGATGTTTTTTTGTGCATGCAGACTATTGCTAGGAACCTTAACCCTGATGAGCGAGTGGAGTTTATAGATGGTGTTGTTAGTAAAATGGAGAAAGTAATGGGAAACGGGTATCCAAATGACAAGAGAAATTTTCGTGAAATCAGTGGGGTGAAAAAAGACTTAAAAGCGAGGTCGGTGAAGTTACTGCAAGGGTTAAAATCTGGGAAATTCGCCATCCTTCCTGGGTCTGTCTTTCAAATGAAAACGGACGAAACGATGATTTCACTTTTCTATGAATGGAATGGAAACCTTGCTAATCTAAGGGCAAATTCGGTTCTTAAGGAGGACGATTTGGAAGGTGTGGCAAAGAGTCTGTTAGGTCCAGTGCGGTCAACGCTAAGTGTAAAATTTTACTTAAAGGATGATAAACCGGAAGAATCCCGGAGAAAAGCTCACAGGAGAAAAGCTCACTGGAGAAAAGCTCACCGGAGAAAAGCTCACCGGAGATAAGCTCACCGGAGAAAAGCTCACCGCAAAACCGGCGGATGCGGAGAAAAGCTCACCGTTTTTTTGTTTTGTTTTTATATATATGGGGGAAGCTGTTGGATCATGGGTAACATATATCAATTTATCATCATTAAAGTTCGTCAGCTTTGTCAAAAAGAAAATGTCATTTTTTGTATTATTTGCAAAGATTATTAAGTATATTGCTCCCAAATTAATAATGGCGGGCGAGTGTTTTCTGCGGCTTACTCTCTACGCAACTAAAGCCTAACTGAAAATTTTATGAACTTGAATAACATGAAAAAGTTCGAAAACTTATGTTTCCCTAAAACCTAAAAATCAAAACTGTAAACACCGAAAATCCTAAAGTGCATGCACAACAACGCGGTGCCTGAAATTCTCTTTGAAGCTTGTATTAAGCTTTGAAAACAGGATAAAACAGTCAGTAGGATATCGAGACTTCTTTCTTCCACGGACATGAACGTTTTCTAGCCGTTCGTGCTGGTGTTTCCGCAGGTTGCCTTCGTGTGATGGTGCCCTTCTAAGGTGAGCCACTCATGACTTTCAGAGCTGCACACTGGCACCGTTGTTACTCGTGATCTATATGAGAGCTAGTCTTCTGTAAGGTAGCGAATAGGGCGAGTTGGTAAACGTTATACATTATGAAAACCGCTCAAACGACGACGATGGAGTGAAGACAACAAACACGACAGGAGGAAGCTGTTCTCGCAACTAAAGTTTTCTTAGTGAAATTAACAGAAAGTAAACAGCCTAGCCGACACTGACTGCATCAACAAATACCTACTTAACTATTAGGCACTACAGAATATTTGGAGCTGAAATGGTTCACACACCGATATTCATATTAGCTCACAAAGAACAAACCTCTTTATTTGACAGAGCTACCGACGGCGCACCTTCAGTTGTCAATAAATTGTTGTCTTTTTTACTAGTGTACGATGTTCTGATATCATTTTTGTCCGGGTTTACGAGAAAGAGGACATATATATATATCTATATATATATATATATATATATATATATATATATATATATATATATATATATATATATTTTTTTTTTTTAATGAAGCGGCGAATGCGAACTATGTTAAATTGCCACGTTTGACGCAGAATCAGCTAAGTTAAAAAAAAAAAAAATCGGTGAGCATTTTTTCGCATCTGCCGGTTTCGCGGTGGGGCTTTTCTCCGGTGAGCTTTTCTCCGGTGAGTTTTTCTCCGCCGCCCAAACCGGAAATGCCTCTTCGGGCGGTGATTAACGAATGTGGCACGTGGCAGAAATCAGTTTCAAAGTTTCTACAGAACGGTCTAAAGTTTACTCATGTAGAGAAGTCATTGTCCCTCAGGAATTCGAACGAGTTAATCAGTAAATTGGAGGTCAACCACGGGAGAGAATGTTCAGTTTTATCGATGGACATTAAGGACCTCTATTATTCTCTGGAGAAAAATAGATTGATGACAAGGGTGAAAGATGCGCTAGAATCGAATCTGGTTCAGTTTCAATCCCAAACGGGCATTTCGATAGACAGTTTTCTTGTAATTCTTGATTATTATCTTCAGTCTACGGTTGTGGAGTATGAAGGAAAAAAAGGTTGTGCAGAAGGAAGACGTGTGCATTAGGTCCTCGGTTGCACCGGCTTTATCGGAGGTGTATCTGAACTCGTTGGACTCTGTTGTGTTAGATCTAATTCAAGGTTTTGGAGAGGACATGTGTTTTGTGAGGCGTTATGTGGATGATATTTTTGTGTGCACCTTCCGGGATGACCTGTTGAACGGTCTCGAGCATTTGATAAGATCAGCAGCCCCTGAACTACGCTTCACCGTAGAGAAACCGGAGAATGGAGTATTACAATTCTTGGCTCTGCAGATTCACACTGATAAAGGTCTCTGCTGAGAGTACGGCAAAGAAAACCCGAAACCGGTTCTGTCAAAAAGGAGCTGCCATTCGAAAACGGTGAAAGCGGGAGTGGTAAAGTCTTTGATCAGAAATGTTCTTGACCGATCATGCATACATTTTATCACAAATTTGGTGGAAGGTCAATGGAAGAGACTAAGAGGGGCAGGGTATGAAGAAGAGTTCATCAGAAGGAATTTAGATGTACACAGTAAGGAGAAAAGGAAAGAGAAGACACGTCGAAAAGACGGATGGCTGTGATCCCGTATTTTCATGGAATTTCACATTACCTGAAGGCGTGTGCTAAGCAGTTTGGAGTGAAAACAGTTTTTAGTTCTGATTTCAGGTTAGATAGATTAACTCCTTTTGAAACTGAAATGCAAGAGTGCAGGAAAGGTCACCGTGAAAAATCGATCGCTTGCAGAAACAGTGTAGTGTATGAAATTCGGTAACCGGACAAAAGCTCACCGGACAAAAGCTCACCGGACAGAAGCTCACCGGACAAAAGCTCACCGGACAAAAGTGTAGTATTATAAGACCGCGCGCTGGCCAGCTAGTCTTCGGGGTGATGAGGTGCCGTTCACCTAAAGGCAGGTTCGCCGGGACATCGCTGGATGCGTGAAGTCCGACTCACCGGGCTGCGGTGTGGGTTCCGGGAGACGGCCGGTCATTTCGGAGCGGCGATTCCTCCGACGACATCAGATCCCGCAGGAGCAAGCCAACGGACACGTTCGTTCTGGATTGTGGTCTGAGCGTGTCCTCGAGCGATCGGCCCGATCGCTCGCCTTTTATTGACTTTATAACAATGGGAACCGCTACCCAATCAGTCCACTCGCGTGATATGATCTCACGTAACTTTCTCTTTTACACATCACTACATTCTCCCTCTCTTATATGAAATAGCGATAAACATGTCTGTTAATAACCAGAGCATGAATTTACAATACTTTTCCCTTTCTTTAAATTAATGAGCCAACCGTTACTGAAAATGGACTAGTCAAACTATTCCTAAAAAAACCTTAAGATGTAATTTTAGACAGTTAAAATTGCTGTGATACTAACAGTTGTTAGACATCCTATGTTTTATAACCAATAACTAGACTAACCAAAAACTAGTAAGCGCTTGGCTCTAAACGCCTTTAGGAGGCACGTTAGTACCCTTTCTCGTTAAATAATCACTTTGACTCGCGTTATGCACGTTACTATAAGTTACTCTAGGACTTCCCTTATGCACTGCAATAATGTATTAAAACTAGCGTTATGCACTTAAACAAAGCGAGAGGAAAGATATATTACATCTGTGGTTCTTGTCCAATTTCGTGAATCATGTCCATAGACGTATTACTGTTATTTACACTAAGAAACGAAAGTACGTAGTCTTTCAGTCTTCCTGGAAGTCGCCGTTGCCGCGTAGAATGCCTTGGAACAGCAGGCGATGCTTGATGACCAGCTTGAGATTGTCCGCGTGGTTCACCAGGCCCTGAATCCATGGCAGAGTGGAGTGGTGCAACTGGTACCACTGAAGACACAGACACAACCACGGAATCACTCACGTCACTTCGTGAAGATTCGCGAGGCGGCATCGACTGTGGTGTCTCGGGGCGTGATGCCGCAGGAGTGCTTGTGTCGACGGGGTCAAAATACTCCACTGATAGGTTGGCTGGAAGAAACTTTACGGGTTCCGGCTGGGCAACAAGAGCTACCGCTGTTCTTTCATCAGTTGTCGTAGACTTAGGAGTTGTTGTTACCGGGTCATTTGATGTGGTCGGTCTCCTTAGAGCTGTGGGCGATCTGGTCGCTACGTAGAGTTTTGGGAAGTTTAACGTGTCGGTGACTGAATCGTCGTCATCATCCTCGTCAAAGGAATCTACTCGTTGCAGTTGTTGGTTTTCTGTATTTCCTCTGCTTGCGTGTGGCGCACTTGCTTGATCTTGGAGAGGTGCAGGAGTGAGTTTCTTAGCGTTCCACTTCCGTCCGTCGCTAAACTGATATGTGGCAGGGCCAACTTGCTTTTCATTCACTTGCGGACCTGTGTATTTGCTGTGCAACTTGTCGCTGTATTGTGGACGAAAAATTCGGACGGCTTGGCCAACTATGAACTTCGGCCGTCTCACAGCTCGTCTTGCGTCCGAGTAAATCTTCATTTTTGTCTGGTACCTCTTGACTCGCTCTTGGAGCTGAGACGTGCTTCTCTCTGGCACCTTGGGTGTCGGAAGACCCTGTAGATCCAGTCTTGATCTATGTACTCGTCCGTGAAGAAGGACTGCAGGAGTCTGACCCGTTGCTGGGTGAGTAGTACGCCTGTACGCTTCTAAGTAGTCGCGAACTGCTTCAGGAAGTGGTCGTCCTTGAACTGTTGCCAGTTGTAAACATGACTTTAGTACTCGATTGAACCGTTCAACTTGCCCATTTGCTTGCGGATGATACAAGGAGGACTTGAGGTGCCTGATACCTTGCTGTTTCAAAAATTCTTCGAACTCCCTAGAGACGAACTGAACGCCATTGTCCGTGACGAGCTCTCGGGGCAAACCTTCCCGGGCAAAGATGTTTTGTAGAAAAGTAATCACCGTAGCTGTTGTCGCCGCTGATGTGTGTTGAACTTCAGGCCACTTCGAGTGATAATCAATCAGGACCAAGAAATATTTTTGACTTGGTGGAGCTCCGTCGATGGGACCCACGATATCCAAACCGAGCTTGTCCCATGGTCGCTCTGGGAACTCGACCGGCTGAAGAGGAGCAGGCGCTGCTTTAACGGGCTTGTCTGTTGTATTGCAAACGGTACAATGCTGTACTTTAAACTTGATTTCGGCGTCCATGCGTGGCCACCAGTAGCGGTCTCTGATGACGCTGATGGTTCTCGTAATTCCTTGATGCGTCTCGTGAGCGAGATCGATGATATTCTCTCTGAGTCTTTCTGGAACAACTACTTTCTCCCCTTGTAACAATAAGTCGTTGTGAACGGATAGCTGGTCCCTGACGTTAAAGTAAGGGCGCAGTTCAGGTATACTAGTGCTATCTTGCGGCCAAGATGACGCTGTGTAATGCATCACACCGGGCAGAACCGGGTCGATGGCCGTAGCTTCTTGAAATTCTGAGCGTGATATTGGAGCAATCACAAAGGAAACTATGTCTTCGTCAAAATTCATACCATTCTCTGTGTCTGAAAGGGGAAGTCTAGACAACGCGTCGGCAACGAGATTGTCGGCACCTTTCTGGTACTCCATACGAAAATTATAATTCAAGAGACGCGATCCCATCGAGTTATACGCAACGGGCGAACCCCAGAGCCTTTGTTAGACAACAGCGTGACTAACGCTTGGTGGTCTGTTCGAATAGTGAATGGCCTACCCCAGAGGTACACATGCCATTTTTCACATGCCCATAAACAAGCTAGGGCCTCCTTTTCTCCCGTAGAATATCTACGTTCAGCGTCGGTCAGCGAGCGTGATGCGAAAGCAACCGTCCGAAGGTTTTTCCCGTATTTCTGCTGCAAGACAGCTCCTAAGCCATAGTTTGATGCATCCGTCGATATTATGACTGGTAGCGTCGGATCAAACATGGAAAGGATTGGTGCATTCTGAATGCATGATTTTATCTTGGCAAAACTTGCCTGAGCTTCAGGGGACCAAACAAACTGTACGCCTTTACGGAGCAAACGACGCAATGGTTCGACGATGGTCGAACAGTGGGGAATGAACTTACTGTAATACTCAATTAATCCCAAAAATGCCTTCAACTTCGACGGGTCTGACGGAGTTTCGAAGCTCCGGACGTCGTCTACTTTTGATGGAAGGGGTGCTAAACCATCCATTGAAAGACTGTGGCCCAGAAACGACAACTCGCGTACGTTAAAAACGCCCTTTCGATTAAGTTTCATTCCCGCTCGAGAGATTGCGGACAAGACTTGACGCAAGTTCGAATCATGCTCTTCCTGTGAAGACCCGTACACAATGATGTCGTCTAGGTAAAATTGGACGCCCTTACAATCTTTTAGAACCCTAGACATGATCTGCTGAAACGCTGCGGGAGCGGACGCCAAACCAAAACAAACTCGCTTGAAGCGAAATAATCCTTCGTGAGTGATAAATGCCGTCAGGTCTCGGCTCACCGGGTCGAGTCGGATCTGGTGGTAAGCCGACGCCAGGTCCAGCTTCGAAAAATGAGATGCTCCGTGCAATGAGTGCAGGAGCTCCTCTATGTGTGGCAGCGGAAAGGAATCTATGACGACGGCTTGGTTGGGCGCACGCAAGTCGACGCACATCCTGATGCTGCCATCCTTTTTTCTTACTACAACGATTGGCGAGACCCACTCTGACGCATTTATTCTTTCGATGACGCCTTGGCGCTCGAGCTTGAAAATTTATTCTGAGACCGCTTCACGCAGACTGATGGGTAGGCGACGTAGCCTGGACTGTACTGGAGGTACGTTTTGGCGCACCTTGACAGTGTGTGTCTGGTTTCGTAGCAGGCCAAGTTCTGATGTTAACAGATGCTCGAACTCCTCGAATCCGCGTGGAAGTTTTGACGTATCTTGTACAGAAGGACTTGAAGCTTGTGTACAGCTTACCGCAGGCTGCTTCACCTTCGTGGAAAACTCGTCCACGCTGTCTGTACTTGGGGACTGTGATCGGGCTGCGCTGGTGACCAGTGGTGATCTTGACTGAGGGTGGGCTGCGTTAGTACCTGGTGGCACTGACGATTGGCCTGAAGGTTGTGGACCAATGCCATGGGCCTTCGGTAGATTTGCCCGTAACTGACTTGAGCGCTGCGACGATACGGTGAACGGGCGCCGCTGACGGTCACCCGCCGGCCTCACATCAGAGCGTGGCGTTTGGCCTGGGTCAGCTGCATCCAGATGAAAACATTCAAATTCAGCTCCTGATAGCCGAAGTTTCAATTCTCTGACGGTGTCAATACCAAGTAGAGAACGTCCTCCACGAATGACGTAAAAATCTAGTGGCGTCTGTCGGTTTTTGAATACGACTTGAGCCGTGAAGCATCCCAACACAGGAATCGGTTGATGCAGATAATGCATAAGCCGTCCCGTAGGCTTGCGTAAGCGGATCTTTCTAGTCTTCTTAAGTTGCTCGAAAATCTTTTCGTTCAGAATTGAAACCTGCGAACCAGTGTCAATTAGTAACTGGAGAGGCAAGCCGTTTACCTTTACGTCAGCAATAAAGGCGTCGTAAAGGCTGCGGTCCTGTGACTCCAAAGACAGGACGGGAGCATCCCCGTCGATGGTGACGTTATAGTTGAACGCAGTGGTCGGACCAGGCCTCCGCGGGCGTCCGGAGTTCTGTCCACGGCCACGACTTGGAAGTGCAGGTCGCCGGCGTTCACCATCCGCGGCTGGCGGCGGCGCGCGGCTTCGACAAACGACGGCAAAATGTCCGATTTTACCGCACTGGAAACACTGGGAGTTGAGTGCAGGGCAGTTCTCCCTGGCGTGATTCCTTCGGCCGCAAAACCAACATGAGTAGTTGTCCTGTTGCGGCCCCGTTCTCGCAGGAGGCGGGTCTCGATGTGGAATGTTACTCTGTCGCGCCGGCGGGCGTGGAGCATGGACTGTCCCAGGACGCCCCCGTTGAGACCTGGGAGCAGGTCTGGTGGGGTCACATGGCCACGATGGGAACCTTGCTTCATGTTCACTGAAACTGTCGTCTCCCGAGAAGAGTGCTGGAGATTGGTTGTTATGACGAGCAGCCACTTGTACTCGTTCGGTCTCGGGCCCAGCAACATACTGCACGGGTGCAGTGGAACAGCTGGCGACGGGCTCCCCCTGACGTGGCTGATGGTACTGCTCTGCTGTACGTGCCAACTGCTCAAACTGCAGCGCGAGCTGTATCGCGCGCTCAAGCGTCGGTACCTGGCGACCTACGCAGTCTCTAAGAATGCGATCCTGAACACGGCGCGAGATCAAACCATCAAGAAAAAGATCACAAAGTCGCGTGTTCTCGGACCCGTCTTCAAACGCGCAAAGCGCGTGCTGATGGCGTAACGCCGCTAAGAATTCCGTGACACTCTCTCCCGGCTGCTGAACGCGAAGACGGAGCTTCTTACGCTCGAGTGCTAGAGACCCAGAAAAAACAAAATGGCTCTCCACGGCCGCTAAAAAGGTCTTGAACTCGTCAAGAAGTTCCGAGTGTGGAAGGTTAGTGAATCCAAATGCGGACACTATTCGTTGCCCTTCAATGCCCAACAACGAAAAAAGAATCTGTTTTTTTCTCTTCGGGTCAACACCTTCGAGGCCCGCCGCACCTAGGAATGACATGAATGTCTCTTTCCATGCAGGCCAGGCCTGTGGTGGCGGTCCCGGAACTGCGAGAAACGGCGGTGGCGGTGGCAACGCCGCGGACTGAACGACCGTTATCTGCCGTTGTTCAGTATTCATGATGTCTGTTTGAATATATCGTTAAAGCAAGAGTATACGCTCAACTGTGCATGAAAGAGCGCGGACTCTTACATTTAATTTACAAAACAGAACCAAAATCGTGTAAACCCCGAAAAAAAACTTTGGCTTAAAGCCGGTGAGCACCGCACCGCAAATCAAGAACAAGAATTGCGTAGCTCGAGTCGCACAGTCACGATAAGCGAGTCGAAAAGGTGCGAGGACCGTAATCGAAGCTCACATACAAACTGCGGCAGCTAAGTGCCATAACGACTTCAAAGTGTAAGTTGTGAAAATAGGTGAGCGACTCAAAAGATGCTCGTAGCCAACGGCTACATACAGTTGCTGCAGTATACAGAGCACTTAGCAGTCGCACACCCTTACGCGGTGTTTGGGACAAAAGGGGAATTCTGCCGGCAAGCCGCGAAACAGAAAATACGGTGAAAAATGAAATGAAAGCAAAGAGCTCGGGGCTTGAAACCGCTACAATAAACCAACGTAGGGAGCCGGGATAGCTACCGGGTGCCCAAGCCGATGACTACCCTAACGTTCCAAACGGCGGTTGGCTGTAGGAAAACGAAGCCCGAATTGACAGCGGAGAGCGGCAGACGAGGAGGACCGTCAGACCACGAACCTTGAACAATCCTCGTCGCCATAAATGTAGTATTATAAGACCGCGCGCTGGCCAGCTAGTCTTCGGGGTGATGAGGTGCCGTTCACCTAAAGGCAGGTTCGCCGGGACATCGCTGGATGCGTGAAGTCCGACTCACCGGGCTGCGGTGTGGGTTCCGGGAGACGGCCGGTCATTTCGGAGCGGCGATTCCTCCGACGACATCAGATCCCGCAGGAGCAAGCCAACGGACACGTTCGTTCTGGATTGTGGTCTGAGCGTGTCCTCGAGCGATCGGCCCGATCGCTCGCCTTTTATTGACTTTATAACAATGGGAACCGCTACCCAATCAGTCCACTCGCGTGATATGATCTCACGTAACTTTCTCTTTTACACATCACTACAAAAAGCTCACCCGTTTTTGCACAGACTCGGACAAAAGCTCACCTAATTATTATTTTTTTTTTGGCTACCAGGGCGAATCATGGGCTGGGATAAAGTGCTGACGCGATCAACATTGCACCATTTTCAGGAAAACTGCTACCCCCCCATCCCATGCAAAGGTGTCGACAGATAAGCCATAACAGGCGGAGAAGCAACGATTTTGGAAAAAAAATAATAGGTCACCGGAAATAGGGTGGAGCTGATAAGTCCCTTCATAACTAATGAATAGGTTTTTTGGGGTTTCAGGTTAATGATTGAAGTGGGTGAATGGCTAAAAAAATTATATTGTTCCCTTCATTCTGCGTTGTAAATGTATTTGAAATTAAGGATTATCTGAGGGTGATGTGGAAGGAAAAGTGAAGCAAAAGTGTATTATACAAATCATTGAGTTGCCAAATTTTTTAAAAAATATTTGAAGAAAAGGGAGTTGGGTTTTTAGGACAAGTACAAGACAATTGACCACTTTGGGAGGCTGTGCGGAATTTTTGGATAGGATGAGATTTTCTCCTGGTGAGCTTTTGTCCGGGTCTGTGAAAAAAATGGGTGAGCTTTTGTCCGGTGAGCTTTTGTCCGGTGAGCTTCTGTCCGGTGAGCTTTTGTCCGGTGAGCTTTTGTCCGGGATTCATGAAATTCCGATGGCGTGTGGCTTTGCTTATGTAGGGCAAACTTCGAGGTGTGTTAATGACAGACTAACAGAACATAAGAGAAATGTAAGGATTAACGCAACAAATTCTGAAATAGCAAAGCACATTAATGAATGTAACAATTGCATTGCTTTCTGGTCAGAGACGGAAATAATACATAAAGAAGTGAATGACAGTAAAAGACTGGCAAGGGAAATCATTCGGATTAAAGCAATTGGTAATTGTATAAGTCCGGCATCGTTGGAGCTGGGAAACAATGCTAAAGCATTTTTGGGACGGTAAACAATTTTTTTTTTTTTTTTAAGGGTGAAGTGGTTTTGCGTTTTTTAGAGTGATTCCTTCTGTATCTGTCTGTTGTGGTTGTTGTTCCGGTTTGGAGATATTCTTCCCAGTTCTCTTTGTGTTCGCGGAGATCGTTGGTCTTTGTACTCAAGTTTTGGGTCGTGTTGGTTCGTGGGTGTAGTGTCAGTGACACACTAAGAGAAAAAGAAGGAAAGGAAAAAAGAAAAATATTTTCTTTCCAGAGAAGTGGAGGGTTTGCCCCTGTTCGTGGTAGTGCTTGAGGGGGCATCCCTTTGCGCCTTGTTGTCTTTGGTTATTTTTTTGTCCTGGTGTGTTGTGTCTTTGAAAGGGGCTTGTTGAGTGTTTGTGGGACCTTGTGGTTGTGAGTATATAAGGATGTGGGACTAAATAAATCTTTTAGCTGCGTTTGAGACGTTCTCTTCTTCACTTGTCTCTGTCCCTTCTACTTTTAAGTTTCTGTTTCTACCCCAGTCTCGGGTTAAGTTCCAACATGATGAATACCAATTATTTTGATCGGTCCCCAATTTCTCTTTCAAAGGCAGGCGAAATTCGCCGGTACCGCGAACGACGGTTCTGAACTAGAGGTCCCACGCCCGTCGTCCGGTGCCATCGCCGTCCCCGCGAATCCCACAATACGCGAAACGACGCCATGTTCAGAATTACGCAGTGAACGCACAAAATGCTCCCGGGCGTCTGTGCAACTTTTTTTTTTTTCAATCAACCTATTTGCAGTTTTTTAGAAGCCACAAAAAATGGGTTTCCTATTTTTTTTCTATTTTTAATATTGAGTGCGTGCCTTGAATGAACCACAAGTTTGATTAAGTTTGGTGGTTCTGTCTAAACCTGCTCGTGACAAAGGAAAAGAGAGTGAGCGCGACTCAAACCGGCCAGTTTTTGATCGGCGGTTTTCGGGCCGAAAGAAGCCGAATTTCGAGCCGCAAATTGTGTTCTGGGTAGTTGGGCTCGGATATGTCATATACAACAGGTACAACTAAAAACCTCAGCGAGCATAAATACCCTGTGAGTGTCTTTTTAAAAGGAAGATAAACTGGTTCTGTATCTAAAAAACGAAACACACGAATCATTTATCTACATTTGGCCTCCAGAATAATGAATATCAAAATTATTTTTTAATTTGGTGCACGCAGTCTCTAGAAAATTGTTTTCAAAATGGCGTTGAAGGCCCTTTTTCCCGGAGGGTGACGTCGTACCCACAGTTCTCAGAATCCCCACTCTCGCACTCCTTTTGCACCCATCAAAGCTATGCACGCACACTCTTTATATTTTCAAAAAAAGAAAAAAAAATGTGAAAGCTGGTCTCACATGCAGGGGAATATACCTGGCAAGCTTGGAATTACACATGCTCTCCATAAAGGGCATCTGACACGCCAACAACAAATTTTTTTTTTTCATGCTAGGCGTTGAAATGGCACATGAAAACATTACAAAAAAAATCGTTTCACTATAGAGTTGCGTAGTTTTTTTTTTTATAAAAAATTAAAATACGAGGCCCAATTTAAAGTTCCCGCCAGTGCACTGTGACGTAACCGTGTACCGAGGGGTATTCACACGAGGGAGAAATCCCGGGGATTTTTCCCCGGCACGCGCGCATCACGAGATGAAAACGCGAGGCTTTTGCACATCGCAAAGCCTGACGTTTTCGTCGTGCGATGCGCGAGCCGGGGAGAAATCCCTGAAATTTCTCCCTCGTGTGAATACCCCTTAAGGTGTCGGGGCGGTCAGAAGGGAGGCATCGCCGGAAGTCACGTGAGTTGTATCCCTCCTCGTGCTTACCGCGGGCGCGTGTAATATTTTTTTTTTTAATATTTTTGTTATTCTCCGCACCTCCACGAGCGATCCAAGCAGACAAGGTTTCTTTTATTGGCTTTTCATCGCTTATTGTTGTTGAAAAGGTAGAAGAGGAGTCAGTGAATTGACGTGATCACCTACAATGCCTATACTTCGTTTCAGCTTCGGTCCGGACGCAGCCGATGCTACAAGCGCGAGCATGTGGCCCAGAATAGGGTGCCTCGATGTCTTTCTGTTCAGGGTGATGCCACCCTTTGTAGTACCCGATGCCGACAGCACGCGCTCACGGGTAAAATATAAAGAAATCGACGAAAACAAAATGTCGCCATAGCACAGTCAGCGCCACAAACGCGTGCAGGGACACGCTCTTTCACGCGCTTCTGAACAAAAATTGAAAGATAAAAGTGTGGGACAAAATGGCCAGATGTCTCCACCCCAAGCAAAGCGCACATGAAGGCACCCTAGCCCAGAACAGTGCTTGCACTGCACGAGCGCGCGTGCTTGGCAGGGATGCTGAAAGCCCGGAGCTCGCGTTTGTAGCTTTGGCTGCGTCTGGACCGAAGCTGAAACGAAGTATAGAAGGTGCTGTGTGAGAGACTGTCCCGGTATTTTAGCAACTGAAGAAGAGATCAAGCTGCATGCATTTCCGAGAGACATACAAGAAATGGACCGGTGGCTGACTGCGGTTCCCGCAAGACAGCTATTAGAATCCGTGGGTAGGCGATGGATATGCTCGATGCACTTTAGTGATGAAGATTACAACCTAGGCGAAGTTTACTAAAACTCACAGGTCTCGGTGTGAGACCTCAGCTGCAGGTCTGCAAGTTTCCTGCCCATTTCCCTGCAGCAACAGCACTCAAGATGCTTGAATTCAGGCATCACGACGCATCGGCTGCATGTGCACCGAGTAAACAAGTTCTACTCATGTTCTAAACAAAGTACGTACTTTCTGCTTGACGTGGTACGCTCACCAGTTCGTATTCTTTAGACAGCAGGCATCTTCAGCCTGGAGAGTATCCGATGATTCAACGACCTCGGTGTTTGAACCTTCAGCATTGCGATCGGGCGTGTCGTATGCCACCAATCCTAATTTCTGCGAGCGTTCTAACATCTCTTTTTCAAAACTTGATAACTTGTTTGTGCCCAGTACAGCTCTGTATTATCCGACTGGCGGCATGCCCTCGTACACTGGTTTGTACCCGCAACGCTTTTATCATTGACCTCCAGCACATCGAACCACTGACTCTTCTTCCTCAACTTTTACAGCACGCAAACTAACCAACGGTGCACCTAAAGTGCCTCGAAAAT